GGGGGGGGGGGTTGTATTCAAAGACAGACTGTTGCAGACCTGTATTCAACACTCTTTTTTCCTCCAGCCCACAAACACAAAGAATAAATCCTGCAGGGAGCTCCTGAAACCCGAGCTTGGAGCCCGTGCTCCACAAGATCCCGACCTTCTCCCGCGCCTGGGGCGGGGAAGTGGAGCAAGGGCACAGGTCTAGCACGAGGCACCTCGGAGAAGATGCAGCGCAGGCGGTGGGGGCGGGCCACGGCGACTCACCTCGTGCTGGCTCTGCGGCCACCCTGGCACAGCGGCCGGGGTCTCCCCAGCGCGGGCCCGCACGCCAAGGAGAAGCCCCCGGGGAAACCTCTGCGGGCCCGTCCGCAGGCACTGCCCAGGTAACGCAGCGCGGGCACCATCGCCGGCGCCCCCTCCTCTGCCTTAGCCCCAGCTTGGCCACCTGAGCTAGGCGCTCACCGCGGGGACGCCCTCTAGCCCCGCCTCCTACGCAGGGGCCAATGAGGCGCGCGCCTTCGCCCCACGTGGGAGCGGCGCCAGTGACCAATGGGCGCGCGCGGCGGAGGGCGAAGGGCAGGCCGGCGCTGCCGTACACGCCCGGGACGTTCGCTCGTTCCCTTCCTGCGACGCTGTGAGTTGAGGAGCTAGGCCCGAGCGGGGCGGGACTAGGGTGGTGGTTACACTCGCCCTTTCCCTTCTCCCCTCGCTGGGCTTAACGGAAAACCGTCCCGCCGAGTCGCGCGTCTCTGACCGTCGCCGTCCAGTGGACTCGGGGCAGTGGGAGAAAATCTGGGATGATTACCGTGAAAACTCGTTCGCGCCGGCCCAGCGGCCTCGCTTCCGCCCGGTCGGCCCCGGCCCCGGCCCCGGCCAGCTCGAGGCGGGTTGCTGAGCACACGCGGTCTCGACCCCGGCCCCCGCCAAGCCGGGTGCCCACTGAAGGGGGCGCGCCGACCGCCTTAGCCTTTGCTTCAGACCGAGGCTCTTTGTCACCGCAACTCCTGACGGCCTGCGGTCTTCTGGGCTTATTTTTGTGGGGCTCCTGGTGCGGTCATTCATTCGGTTATTTATCGGTCCTGTAAATATCGTCTGTGTGAACCGGATCCCGCTCGGTCTCTGCCATCATTTAGGGATCTGTTTCCCTATCTTTAATACTGGGCCGAGGTACAGCTTTAAATATGCTGTTGGGGCCTGGGAACACCGACTCACCTGTGCAGGTCACATCTCCCCCGCTTCCTTGTCTGTAAAATGAGGGAGGTGGGCTATGTAATCTCTAAAATACCTGGCTACTCTAAAATTACATGGTTATCACCGTGCCAGTTTAACACCCGTTCTCTGTGCTTAATGGCAGTTAAAATTGTTTTAGGGTCAGAACAGCTGAACCGAAAAATAGAATGATACAACTTCACTGCTGGAAGGACTTGACTTGCCCGTTTGGATTTGGTGTCAGGCGGCTTCGGGAAGTCATTTCACCTCTTGGCCTCAGAGACCCCCCCGCCCTCGCCCTCGTGAACTAGGTTCTTCAGTGTTAGCACAGTGACGTGCTCGGTAAATGCTTTTATTATGCTCAAATGGTTTTACCTCCTGGGTAGTTGTACATATTTTGCGTTATTTGTGAAAACAATGTAGAATGTTACCTGCTTGTTCCATCACAGTTTTTTTTTTAAAGAGATGGTTATTTTTGAAATTTTAAAAAGTTTCGAGATAATTGTAGATTCCCATGCAGTTGTAAGAAACAATAGAAATTCTGTGCGCCATCTACTCAGTCTCCCTCAATGATGACATCTTGCGAAACTATAGTACATTACAACCAGGAAATTGACATTGACACAGTCCATGGATCTTATTTCGTTTTCCCCGCTTTTACATTTATGTGTGTATTTAATTCTGTATAGTCTTTATCACGTGTATAGGTTCTTGTATCCACCACCACAGTCAAGCAACAGCACAGTTTGGTCACAAGAATCCCTCTGTTGCCCTTTTATAACCACACTGCCCTATAGCAGGGCACCTCTTCCCCATCTGTTCTCCCTTTCTAAAGTTTTTGTCACTTCAAGAATTTATATAAACAGAATTATACAGGATGTAACTTTTGGGAATTGGCTTTTTTCACTTAGCACAATCCCTTGAGATCTATCTCAAATGTTGCATGTACTGATGGTTCATTTCTTCATATTGCCGAGAGTATTTCATGGTCCCACAGTATGGTTAACCATTCACCCATTGAAGGACATCAGAGTTGTTGCCAGTTTTTAGCTATTTTTCTAATAAAGCTGCTGTTAACATTAGTGTATAGCTTTTTTGTGTGTGAACCTGTTTTTGTTTCTCTGGGATAAATGCCCAAGAGTCCAGTTGCTGGGTCATATGATAAGCACACATTTAGCTTTGTAAGAAACTGCCAAATTGCTTTTCCAAAGTGGCTGTACCTTTATACATTCCCACCAGCAATATTCAAGTGATCCAGTTTCTCCTGGTCACCAGCATTTGGTGGTGTCACTATTTTTTACTGTAATCATTCTGATAGGTATGTAGTGGAGATGGTTATTTTTTAGTTTGTACAGGATGTAGTTGATTTGTTACTAGATTGAATACAGAATTAAACCTTTTGAGGGTCTGTGATCAGACTTTCATGGACCATAGTAACTTTTTTACTGTTGTGATTTTCAGCACTTTCTTCTTAGTTTAGAAAGAACTCCAATACCCATGCTCTTTTTATAATTTTTTTTCTGCTTACCCTCTCCCCTAGGATTGTACAATTTGTTTCAATTAAGTAATTTCGAATCAAGGGCTCACCTTACATTTATACACCATGTAGTATCTTTGGCTAGAGACATTTGTGTTCATGATACTACCCTCAGCTGAGAGGTCTGGCCTTCTCTAAGTCACAAACATAATTGCATCTTTCAGAAACATCAGTTACAAATTTATGGCTCTAAGCCATGTTCTGATATAAGAAGTTTGTTTTTTAAAATGATTTTAATTCCTGAATTATTTACAACAGCAGTAACTTAGTGGTGGTTATTTTTAACTTGGTTTTAACTGGTTTCCTTTAATTCGTTAGAGTTAAATTCACAAATTCACCACTAGAGGTCTCCTCTTTCCCAATAGAAAGCATTTCCCCGGGTAGCTGCTTGAATTAATCAGAAATTGCTCAACTTAATTAGCAAAGTCACAGTTGAGAATATAAAAACCTACCGATTTATTTTACCTTTATTGCTAGATAAAAATTTGATTTTCATGTTTAAATTATTTTAACATAATACCCAGTATTTTTAGAGATCATAACTAAAGTAGTAAATTTGGCCTTTTCTTTAAGTTGAATTATAAGATGGGCCAAAATAAATCAAGTAAGAGAACTTCAGTTTCCACAGACCATTCAAGTTTACCTGCTTAATAGGAGTTTCACTGGTTTTACTTTTCTCCATGGAAATATATCAACCACTGAAGACTATTAGCAAATATTTATTAAATTCTTGCATTAGGGGTATGGCACTATGCTAGGTGCTAAGCAAAATGAAAATGAAAAAGATGTGACCTTTGCTCTTCCCTTTGCTCTGCATACTCTTCCTTTTTCTGCCTAACTGGAAACTTTTCATCACCCTTTAAGAGCCACCCCAAAGAAAACTAGTGTGAAGCGTTCCCTTACTCCTTTAGGCTCTGACAGAACCTTCTCACACCGCCGCTAAGACACCATGTTGCGTGTTATCTGTCTGTCTTCCGCCTTCTTCATTGGACTGTACATCCTGTGAGGACGGCAACCATGCCTTTGTCTCCTGTTTTGTTTGGTTTTTCTATCTTTCCATTGTATCTCTTGCACTAGGTATAGCAGACATTCAATAAATATTTATTGAGCGCATGAATAGATGGGTGGATGAAGATCGCATCCGAATAAGGTCTTGAAGTTGGGTAAGATTTCCACAGGCAGGATTGGGTGGGCGGGGA